GTCTATAGTTTTCGGGCCTATCCTTACCTTCTTTGGTGTTGGAACAGCCACTTTTGCAAGAACCCCCACACTCGCAAGTATTTATAGGTAGACTTTCTTCATTTCCATAACTTATAAGGGGTCTTTTCCGATTTCTTTGGGGCACCTTATTTAAAAGATAATTTGCTGATAACACAGCTTCCCCCCACATGTTCTAAGGTAATCCAGAACTTACTAGCATTGCATTCATCATTTCTTTTAAGGTACGATTTTTTCGTTCAGCTACACCGGTTTGTTGCGGTGAATAAAGTGCGGTGGTTTCATGTATGATTCTGTGTTGTGCACAAAAATTGACAAACGGTGCTCCGTACTCACCACATCAATCACTCCGTAGTACCTTAATTTTCTTATTAAGTTGAGTTTCAACTTCATTCTTATCGAGAACAAATTTCTCTATAGCTTCATCCTTGCTTTTCAGCAGATACACATAGCAGTATTTTGTACCATCGTCGACAAAAGTAATAAAATACTTGTTGCCACCTCTTGTTTGTACAAGTTTTAAGTCACAAACATCACTGTGAATTAAATCAAGTAGTTCTGTAATCCGTTCAACTGACTTAAAGGATGACCTTGTCAATTTTGTTTCAACACAAGTTTCACACTTATGTTCGAAATCATTATGGAACTTAGGTATGCAATTCGAGTTAACTAGTCTACGTAAAGTATCATAGTTAATATGTCCTAGTCTACCATGCCACAAATTGGAAGACTCAAGAAAATAAGCAGAAGAATTTGCTTTATTCATTTTTGGTTTTACAACCATTACATTCACCTTAAACATACTGTCGGAAACATAACATTTTCCGACAAACATTCTACTTTTTGATAGAATGACTTTGTCTGACTCAAATACAATGTGAAAACCATGCTTATTCAAAAGCGACCTGGACACTAAATTCTTACGAATTTTCGGCACATATAGCACATTGTTGAGAGTCAGCTCCTTTCTCGAGGTCATCTTTAGAACCATCTTTCCTTGACCCTTGATTTCAGAGGTTACTGAATTTTCCATGAACAACTTCTCCCCGTTCTCAATTGCTTCGAACGTAGCAAATAGCTCTTTATCATAGCACACATGCCTTGTAGCACCGGTGTCAATCCACCACTCCTTAGGGTTTGAACTCACCGTGTTCACTTCAGAAATGACGGCTGCGAGATTCATTTCTGAGATATCTTGTGCCATGTAGTTAACCACCTTTGCTTCTTTTGTCTTCTTCTTTGACATTCTGCACTCCGAAGACTTGTGGCATACTTTGTCACAATTGAAGCATTTCCCTTGAAATTTCTTCTTAGAAATTCCACCTTTCGGTCCGCACTTGGTCTTTTTTCCACCGGATGGCCCAAATTTGTTTTTGTAAGTCTTACTACTTTGACCATGCTCCACAACATTGGCTTTAGCCACATTAGGATTGAACCACTTCTTTTCTAAACTTTTGTTGTCTTCTTCAATTCGAAGTCTAACAATAAGTTCTTCAACACTCATTTCCTTTCATTTGTGTTTCAAATAGTTTCTGAAATCTTTCCATGCGGAGGGCAATTTTTCAATAATTTCTGCCACTTGAAGGTTTCACTCAACACCATTCCTTTGGCATGAATTTCGTGAAGAATCAGTTGGGGTTCTTGCACTTAACTGATAATAGTTTTGGAGTCCACCATCTTATAGTTTAGGAATCTGCCGACTATAAATTTTTTAGCCCCGGCATCCTTAGTTTTGTATTTTCGGTCCAAAGACTCTTACAACTCCTTAGCAGTTTTCATCGTGCTATGCACATTGTATAGCGTGTTTGCTAAACTATTTATAATGCAGTTTCGGTATAAAAAAGTTCGAATGCTTCCAAGCATCAAGTGCATTGACTGCTTGAAAATCTCCTTTTCCTTCGTTGAGTACAGGAGCAGTCTCAGTCAAAAATATCGCAAGATTCAAGGTAGTCAGGTAAAACAGCATTTTCCGCTACCACCTCTTGAAATTCAAGCCATTGAATTTCTCTGATTTCTCTCCATGATTAATCAGAAAGTAACTGTTTGACCAGTTGTTGGAGCTACAGTTTGACTCACAACACGACTAGGCAAGTTAGCCACTGCAGAGCTTGGCCCTTAAGCCATAGTAGAGTCCACAACTTGATTTTCAGCAGGAACAGTTTGGGTCACATCCATATTTGTTGGTTCGATAGCCATTTCTGAAAATGAAACAATTATTAGTTTTCAATAAACAAATAAACTTGTTTACTACCAATATGCATTAAGAGTTTGTCTTAAATTTGTTGTTATATTTAATCGGTAGTGTATGGAGTGGAATCGGGTTCTCATATACTGTATTTGTGTTTTAGACACAGGATTCACACTTACCGTATTTGAAAATTGCTTACCGTATTTGGCAGCTGCTACCGTATTTGGTAACTGCTCACCGTGTTTGGTAGTGCAACTCACCGTATTTGCAACTCACCTATTTGGCAGGAAGTCACCGTATATGACAGTGACCGTATTTGGCAGAGAATTAAATATAGAATTTGGTGTTTATTTTCATATAATTTGCACAAACACAATTTTGAAGAAAAGAAAATTCAGATAAATTTTTTCTTAATTTTATTTTTCACAAATTACTTAGATACAGACTATTATCTAAATCACTACTTGAATAAGAATGAGAAATTATATTATTTGTAGAAACATAAAAGCAGTATAAATTTCAGAAAGCTAAATAAAATCTGAAAGCGTGTAAATCTGCAAATAATTAAAGCACAGATACTCAAACTAGAAGCATATATATTTGGAAATAAACTTTTAACCTCGAGGCCTGTGTAAACACAGTTTTCTGAAGACAAATTCATCCCCTCACTGTGGTGTTAGAGGTTTAGTTCGAGCGCCTGTCTCTCAAGATACAACGGTAACCAGCAGAATCCGAGCATCGTAGTTCTACTCCGACAAACTGGATGAGTGTTCGAACAATATCACCTTACTGGAATGAGCATGGGAGGAGACCGAACAAAATAGAAAACAGAACTATACGAAGGCAGATGAAAATTGCTATGTATGAACTGCTGAAAATTGAGTGAAATTATATAGACTGAATCTGACCATTAGTTTCTGCATTAACCATTGCAGTTTTCGGAGTTACACTTCGGTTTCGACCATTGGAGTTTTAGGAGTTTCAGACACTTAAAAGTCTTTTGAAAAAACCACAAAAAAAATTGCAAAACGCGAACAATCCAAACTAGCTAGTTTTTGCTCCGTTCGATTCGATATTCGTGTGCGCAGGTTGCGTTCGCATCCAAGTTCAAGGTCCGAAGGCTATTTCTGTTCGTGATTTGCACCCTCTTGCGCGGCACGTGAAGAGAGCCTCTATGCTATACATGATCATACCATTCCAATACATAGCCATATATAAAGTGGTTTTGGTTTCCATGTTTTTCCTATGTGGGACAAAGTTAACTAAAATTTTCCCCCCAACATAGACCATTTCCAATGGTCCACTTTAAACTCCAATTTCTCATTCACTCGAGCTTCATTTTCGACAAATAAATACATGACTTCGATATTCTCGCAGAGGAGAATACATATCAACTTTGATATTTCAAATTGGACCAACAGGTCCCACCGAAAATTGTGCCAAAAGTGAGCCGCTCACTCATTTTTTCTAACAAAAGTTTGATAACAATAAGCTCATTCCGATCAAGACAATCATCAAATGGCGAGTGTGCATTGACTACCTCACCTCAAGCTCAATAATGTCACTCGTCAATATCACTTCCTACGGCCGTCTATTTATAAGATATTTGCGAGATTAGCCACGCATTCTCACAAGTACTTCTTGGATGGATGTTCAAGCTCTATAATCAGATTCCCATCGTCAAAGGATCACGAAAATACCAATTCCACATGCCCTTATGCCACGTTTGCATATAGACGGACGCCATTAGAAATATGCAATATTTTACTGACTTTTAGAATTGTTTGCTGTCCATCTCATTTATGGTAGAAACGTTAATCAATTTGTTCATGGATGACTTCTCAGTTTTTTGGGCCTTCATTTGATGAATGTTTGAAAAATCTAGCTCTAGTCTTACAATGTTGTGAGGAAACAAATTTGGTATTCAACTAGAAGAAGTGTCACTTTATGGTCTAAGAAAGGATCGTGCTTGGGCATCAAATTTCAGTGGATGGAATTGAGGTAGATAGAGGTAAAATTCAGGCAAAAGTGGTGCAAGTGCAATACCTCCAATTCTGTGGCTAAGAGGCCAGAAAGTATACCACGCAATCGTAGAATTATCAACATTTTCTCGTTGAAGATATATGATAAACAATGAAACAAAGTATTGTAAATTTTATTTTTGTATTATGTAAACAACTTTACATTAATAACTTAACACGATGTCAAAAATTAACAAATAAATAGTGTATTGTTAATAAGTTAAATGTAGATATGTTAAAGTTTAATTCACCAAACTTTAATAAATATTATTAACTAGTTCAACTACCGTCATTGCTAATAGTCGAGAATAGTCACACGTTCTTTCTATCATCGATTATTATCGTAATAGTTGTAGTCCACCTTCTACTAACCACCATCATTCGGCTACCAAAATATATAAGATTTTCACAATTTAAATTGAAGTAATTAATTACATTACAACACAACACAATTCATTAATGAAGTAATTAATTACATTACAAAAATTCATACAAAAAACTCACATAAATATATTACAAAATTAAAAATATAATACCATATTATTATAATCCTAAAAAAGATTTTGTGAATTTTTTCTCTCGATGGTCCTATATGTTTCTTCACACGGGAGCATTCCGAGTGTATATAAATGAACAAGTAATGTCCTTATGAGCACCGCCCTCATCCACCATTTACAGCGTTGCGCTGCTGCAAACCACCACCCTACACCACTTTTACTGTCCTCTCTCTTGACTAATTGGTTGAACACACAACGAGGCAATATCAACCAAATATGAGCGCGGATTCCAATAACCCTAATAATATTATCACTTGTGGCCACCCAATTTCTGTAACCACCACTAGCAGTGACAGCACCACCGCTACCGGCGTTGATATCAGCAAGAGCAACAAGAGAGGTAAAGGCAAAGGAGGGCCCGATAATGGAAAGTTTAAGTATAGAGGTGTAAGGCAGCGGAGCTGGGGCAAGTGGGTGGCCGAGATACGTGAGCCCAGAAAGAGAACTCGGCGGTGGCTCGGAACGTTTGCCACGGCGGAGGATGCAGCCAGAGCGTATGACCGTGCAGCCGTTATTCTATATGGGTCAAGGGCTCAGCTTAATCTACAAATCTCAGGTGGTGGCGGAAGTGCAAGTGGCGCATCTGGTCAATCCTCCTCCCGTTCTTCTTCTTCTTCCACCCAAAACCTTCGTCCTTTACTGCCTCGCCCGTCTGGCTTTGGCCTTACATTCTCCACTCCACCACTTCCGCCGCCTGTCGCCTCCGTAGGAGGCGTGGCAAACTATGTGCCGTATGGATTTTACTCGATCGAACAGTACCCTAACGTGGTACAAAGTACACAAAACCTAGGATTAGTGCATCAGAGGTACGGAACAAGTGACGTGAAGAATATTGAGTCTGGACCCACAATTCCAAACCCTAATAATCATCAACAGCAAAATTTCCAAGATTTGCATTCTCAGCAGCGTCAAAACTATTGTGTGTACGATCAAATCAACTCAATTGCAAATGTTGCGCCAAGCTTTTCTCAGGCCATCACTGAACCTCTGGTGGCGCCTGACATTTCAGATCCGGTGGTGCCTGATTCCGCCGCCTCTCCGGCTTTATGGCCATTGCCTATTGATGATGATGAGTATCCAACGGCAAATATTTGGGACTATGATGACCCGTTCTTGTTTGATATTTGAAGGTTTTGCTTTCCTATTTGTACAATCTTTAAATGGCTCTTGAATGCAAATAATACTTTGGTTATTGACATGAGAAAGTATAGTTTGGTTAGAATTCAAACTGTTTGTCGAAAAAATTATTCTGGAATTGTGGCTACCGTTAATGTTAACTTGTTTAGTTTTGTGCAATTATCTCCAAATGTAGTGATCCGTCAATTTTACTCCGTGCATTTGGTTAGAGACCGAAGAATGGTTGAGGATTTTACATAAAGAAGAGTAACTTCCAGTTGATCGCATGTCCTCCGTGCCTAAAATGGGAGTCCCAAGTCAGTCATAACTTGGAAATTGGTAGGGCGTCTCTCGCACGCTTGACCAATGCTTTTTGAGTAATGCTTTGTAATCCGGGATTGCAACCCTAATTTAGGTGGCGCTAGATGATAGGTTAAATGAAAGGTGAAATTAAATGATTTATTTAATATCACGTTAAGTCCACCTAGATTGGATTTATAATCCCAATGGAATTGAATAGCATTACGCAATGCTTTTCGAGTNAATTAGAAATCCATTTATTAATTGGAATGTTATTTTCAATTTTTTAGAAAAATAATTTTAAGATTTATATATGTTTTTTTTTTTAAATATTTTTCTCACTATTTCTATTTCTTATGAAATTTTGTTTGTTTTAAATAAATAATTAAAGCAATATAAAAATATTGTGCAAGTGGAATCCATTAGAAATCTTGAAGCTGAGCTTAATTTTTCAAACAAATGAACACCAATTGAGAAGGCTCGACCCACAACTATTCCCTTACATTTGGTAGGTACAAGCTTTACACCCACAAAGGATAATGGCGGTGGTGATTGCAAATATTACAAAGGGAGGAACGATGAAATAGAAGCAATGATTGAATATCAAGAAACTCCCAAGAACGGCTACCTCTTAATCTCTTGCATTGTATTGTAGATACAAGCACTGAAGCTACAAGAAATTTAATGTAATATAGATATGTTATGTATCATCTTGGGCCAAAAATAAATCCACCAAGTGGCCCATGTAACCAAAGCCCCAACTTACCAGAGGAATGGGCTAACTCACATATCACCACCAAAGTGTTGTGTAACAAGCAACCTTAATTAATTAAGGGGTACTTACAAAAATACCCTATATTTTTAGGCTGTTTTGAAAAAAACATTATAAACTTGGATTAAATGGTAATTACTTAAAATTGAACGTAAAATATACGCTCAAAACCTAAACTCACGACAATCCTCATAAATCAGCCTCCAATATGCAAAAATCAAAGGAAAATTGAAAGGAAAAAGAGGAAATCTTCCACAAATACATAAACAAAGTTTGTTCATTCTTCAAATCGAGGAAACCATCCACAAAAACATTGAAAAATCTGGAAAAAAAAAGTCGAGGAGATCTTCCACAAAAACACAAACAAAATTACAAGTATATCTATGTTTTGGATTCCATGATTATAGCTCATTATCCATCTCATTTTTGTTTGAATTTCATGATTAGATTTAGTTTAAATCTCATAATGTATAATTAACATTTATGAAGTTTCTTTTTGACGATTTTATTAATTTGATTGGAAACATATATGAAAATAAAATTGTTGAAGTTAAGTGGATTGTGTCAATACATATGAAAAATTAGTTTTGAATCAATTATATTGATACTTGCAAGGTGTTTGACAAAAAGATAATGTGAAAAAGTGGCATTCTATCACTTTTTTCAAAAAAAAGTCACATCATCTCTTTTAAGCAATTTTCTGGTAATACACATAAGAAAGAAAAGTTTAAATCAATTGCATTGATGCTTGCAATTGTGTTTGCTCAAAAGAGAAGGTGAGAAAGTGGATTTCTATTACCTTTCTAAAAAAAAGTCACAACATCTCTTTTGAGCAATTAACTAGGCATGCATATGTGAGTTTTTAAAAATTTGAACGTACATATTCAAGCTTTATTTTCTAGTAATACACAATAGAAAGAAAATTTTAAACCAATTGCATTGATGCTTGCAATGTGTTTGCTCAAAGGAGAAGGTGAGAAAGTGGCATTTTGTCACTTTTCTCAAAAAAAGTCACAGCATCTCTCATGAGCAATTAGCTAGATATGAATGTGAGTTTTTGAAAATTTGAATGTATATATTCAAGCCATATCTTTTGGTAATACACACGAGAAAGAAAACTTTAAACCAATTACATTGATGCTTGCAATGTGTTTGCTCATAGGAGAAGGTGAGAAAGTGGAATTCTGTCACTTTTCTTAGAAAAAGTGACATTTTGTGATCTTTCTCCAAAATAGTCACCATTTATCATTGAAGCAATTAATCGATTGCGTACGTGTGCTTTTTTGAAAGTTTGAATATACCAATTCATACCTTATTTTTTGGTAATACATATGAAAAAAAAACTTTGAATCGACTACAAGAATGCTTGCAAGATGTTTGATAATGAAGAGTGACATTATGTCACCTTTATCAAAAAAGTGACATTGTGTCACTTTTCAACGAAAAAGTAACATTCGTTACCTTTCTATAAGAACAGTCACCCTTTATCATTGGAACAATTAATCGAATGCATACGTGTGCTTTTTTGAAAGTTTAAACATACTAATTCATGCCCTGTTATCTGAGAATACATATGAAAATGAAAATGAAAACTTTGAATCAATTACATGGATGCGTGCAATGTGTTTGCACATGGAGAGGGTGACATTCTGTCACTTTTCTTAAAAAAAAGTGACATTGTATCACTTTTTTATGAAAAAGTGACATTTTGTGACCTTTCTCCAAAACAGTCACGCTTTATCATTGGAGCAATTAACCGGATGCATATATGTGCTTTTCTGAAAGTTTAAACATACCAATTCATACCCTGTTTTCTAGTAATGCATATGAAAAAAAAAAAAACTTTGAATCCACTACATGGATGCGTGTAAGATGTTTTCTCATGGAGAGAGTGACATTCTATCACTTTTTTTTCAAAAAAGGTGACATTGTGTCACTTTTCTACGAAAAAATGGCATTCTGTCACTTTTTTCCAAAATAGTTACGTTTTATCATTGGAGTAATTAACTTGATGCAACATGTTCTTTTTTGGAAGTTTGAATATGCTAATTCATGGCCTGTTTTCTAGTAGTATATATGAAAAAGAAAACTTTGATTCACTTACATGGATGCATGTAAGGTGTTTGCTCATGAAGATTGACATTTTGTCACTTTTTTCCAAAAAGTGATATTGTGTCACTTTTCAACGAAAAAGTTACGTTCTGTGACTTTTTTCCAAAACAGTCACCATTTCTCATTGGAATAATTAACTTGATGCATACGTGTGCTTTTTAGAAAGTTTGAACATACTAATTCATGTCCTGTTCTCTGGTAATATATATAAAAAAGAAAACTTTGTATCGAGTACATGGATGCGTGCAAAGTGTTTGCTCATGGAGAGTGTGACATTTTGTCACTTTTTTTTCAAAAAAAGTCATACCATTACCATATCATTGGAGCAATTAAATAAATGTATACGTGATTACGTTTGTATTTTTTGGAAATTTGAATATACCAATTCAATTCTTGTTTTCTGGTAATACATATAAGAAAGAAAATTTTGAATTAATTACATTGGTAAATGTAATGCTTTTGCTCAAGGAGAATGTGATTCTGTCACTTTTCTATGAAAAAGTGACAAAATATCACTTTTTTCAAAAAAAAGTCACATCATATCATTGGAACAATTAACTAGATGCATACGTATGTATTTTTTGAAAATTTGAACATACTAATTCAAGCACTATTTTCTGGTAATATATATGAAATAGAAAAACTTTGAATCAATTGCATTGATACATGAAACATATTTGTTTAAAGAGAATGTGAAAAAGTGTCATTCTTAAAAAAATCACGGTATCTCATTGGAGCAATTAACTAGATGCATATTACTCTGTCACTTAAAAAAAAAAAACTCACAATTTTTTTGCAATCTTTTTCCAGGTATGGATAAAATTAATGTTTTCGTTTGTTATGGAGGCAAATGGACACAATATAATAAATATACAAGTGAAAAAAATCACCAAAATTATTGTCCTGATGGATTGCACGTACAGCATCCTTGAGTGCACGATATTTTCTGTAATGAAACTAAGTTCATCAACACAAAGAATACAAATACGATATAGTGTGGCATTGTGTTGTTTTTGTTGTTGTTATTGTTAGCAGTAGCAATGAATTAGCGGCAACGGGATGTGATGAAGAGTGTTTTGTGACCAATTATTTGGTTGATTTGTGACCAAGTATTGGTAGTAGATCGAGAGCGAGGTGGAGTGTTTGGTTTATATGACCAAATGTTTGGTTCTTTGTGACTAGCAATTAAATTGTGATCTTAAAATTCGGTAATATGAGACTAAATAAATTGTGACCTATAAAATTTTTGATTTGTGACCCATGAAATAAACTATGTAAAATTAAAAAGTGACGCAATGTCACTCTTTTATAAAAATTGTCACTTTTTTTGTAATTCGAAAAAGTTCAAAAAAGTGACACAAACTTAGAAGAAGTGGCAAATTAAAAAAAAAAAAAAAGTGACACACTCAAAAAGTGATAAAATTAAGAAAAAAGAAAAAAAGACACAAACTCAAAAAAAAAAAAAAAAAAAAAGTGACACACTCAAAAAGTGATAAAATTAAGAAAAAAGAAAAAAAGACACAAACTCAAAAAAAAAAAAGAAAAAAAATGACAAATACCAAAATAGCATCATCCATTTGCGAGGCACCAGTAATCATGTTCTTAACATAATCAACATGTTCAATACAATTCATGTGAGTGTAGTAGCGATTTTTAACATAAGAAGCATGTCTAGGACAATTCACGTGATAGAAATTCACAAGTAACATTATAGTAGCAAATGTGATAACAATTGCATCGAAGAGAAAAAAAAATGAGAGAACACAAGAAAAGAATCGGGCGGGGAATACATAGTGGGACAAAACCTTTCATAGAAAATCTGATAAAA